AAAATCCTGTGGTAAAATATCAGCAGAAACTACAACACTGCCTTCTAAAACTATCTCAGGCAGCATACCCTGTCTGAGACAGATCAGAACAAACCACTTGGATCCCCAAAACGACTGCTCACAATGAGGCCACAGCCTTCTGATCACTCCCCCAATTTGCATCTATTTCAGGGGACAATTTGGAGTATATGTTGGCATAAACAAGCATATGCACCAAAATGAAATAGTTTGCCAGTGCAAGATAGAGGAAACTTTCTATCTGCCAGCTGTGATGCTGGCTGGGAGCTTGGGCAACTACCACATAAACACCTGTTTTCATTTTCTGAACGGTGCTGTGACACGGGGGTAAGCAGTGACATGAAGCTTTTCATATGGCCACGATCTGGGTTCAAAGCTCTATAAACAGCTCTTAGTTGAAAATAACATGTAACATGATTTTTGTTTGTTTGGTTGGGTTTTTTTCCCTTTGTTGCATGCAGTTCATCCCCAGAGTGAGGAGAGCCTCTGTGCTCATCTGGGCTTCGGAACAGCAGTTCCCTTGAACGCAGCAGGCGTTCAACCTGAGGCTGACCAGGTTCAGGCATTGAGCCATGAAGCTTCAAGCGTGCAGGTTTGTCTTGCATAAAGAGGGAATTACGAGTTGCTAGTAGGGTGAGATAGCTGCTATTTGAAAATAGGAGAAACTGCATTAACAGAAATTCAATTTAAGTTAAAAAAAAAAAAAAAAAAAGAGACCAACCTAGGAGAATTCAGAAGTCAAAATGTAAGACCTTTAGTTAGGAAATAATTGCACACTTATGACCTGAGGGAACATTCAGACTTTGCTGGAAAAAAAAATGGCACATGTCATTAAATTTAATAATACTTAATTATATAATCATAAATATTTGAGATTGGAAAGGCCCAGTAAGTCATTTAAGTCCCCCTTCTTATCAATGCAGGACTGTTCCCTAATGTATATATGCTGGTATGTTTTCCTCAGACTATTAGAACTTATTGTCAGGAGGATTTGCCTTAAATTCTGCCTCAATTTTCCATTTCTTAATTTCATCCCATTACTCTCTGATATACCTGCTTGTTTCCTGCTAAGTAATTCCTTTCCTTCCCTAGTGTGTATGTCAGTCAAATATTTGTAGATGGTTAGAATGCCTCTCCTTAGTTATCACTTAGCCAAACTATACATATTTATTCAGTTCTTTTAATCTTCCTCATGGGTAAATCACTACAGTCCCTTAATTATTTTGTTGCTCTTTTCTGAACTCTCTCTTTCCCAGCCTTTCTTGTGGTCATATTGGCTGCAGTATCCTAGAGCCATCCAAAGCCATGGAAAAATCTGGGGTGCTATTGCATCTCTGCTGCATGTGCTGTGCCTTTGTGTCTGACCCACTATGTTTTTTTTCCCCTGATCCATCAGGCTGAGCACCATGCAAGGCTGGAGAGAGGTCAAGACAACCTCTGTCTTTAAAATTCTGCCCTGCAGCTATCCCTCACGGTGCTGTCAGCAGGGAAGACATTTCTTCTTCTAAAATCTTACTTCTGATACTTTTTCTGCCTAAAGATGTTGTAACGTGAACCTTCTTCTGCATTGAGCAATAACTTCACTTAGACTTCCCCTCTCTTTCTGTGTTTCTTTACTGTCCTCTGCCCCCTGTGATTCAGAGATCAGTAAGAATGAGAGAACAGAGCAAGAAGAGAAAAAAAAAAAGGTAGCTTACTGCAACAGCAGTAAAAAAAGCCTCATCTCCTGGGTTTATCATCCCAGAGATTAGTAGACCAGGATGAGGAAAAGGCTCTAGGGAGGCACCATGATGAAAATTCGAGAATAAAGACTGAAGTAAGGAGACAAAGTAGTACAGAAATAACTTATTGGGGCAAGCTGACAAGGGAGATGAAAACAGGGAAGACAGTGAATGTATTATCTTCCTGGCCAGCACCTAGCAACAGATTCTACTCTTGAATAATTGGTGCTGCGTTGATTGCTTTGGATGGCTTTGCTTTGAGTTTTCCTTTTCGGTTTTGATATCTCCATTTACCCTAAAACACTTTCTTCTTCCTCAGACCTTGGTTCAATGGAGTTGAAAGGTGGACTTTCCATGCAGACTCCAAGTTTGCTTTCCTGGCAGGGCCTCAGCCCTTGCCACAAGGTCCCCTAGATAGCAAGGTCCATCTCTTTAATGTCTTGGGCACTTAACATGGAGCCGTTTCTAACAGCACATTGCAGAAAAGTTGAGGATTTAAGATAACCTGCTTGATACTCCGGGTTAGAAAGCGACTAGTCAGCTTTTTCTCTTGAGACCTTATCTGATTAAATGGAACCAAAAATTAAATATTAAATAAAAAATATTAAATATTAAGTAAATGTTGCCCAAGAAGTACTAGATTAAAATAATATGTATCAGTTGTATCAGTGTTCAAGCTCAGGGATTTTGCAGTGTTTGCTTTATCCTTATCTTTTTCACTTTTCATTTCATCTTGTAAAATCATGACAATTGACAGAGCTGTGCAGGAATGCAAAAGGTAAATGTAAAAATCTGCATACATAAAGGTATATATGTAAATATTCCAGTAAAAGAATGAGTATCTACATAAAGGACAACCTATTTCTTCTTCCTTTCTTAAAGTGCTCAGTTGTTTTGTTTTGGGGTTTTTTTGCTGGGGTTTTTCCCTGAAAATAAACACAGGGTTACTTGGAGAGGGAGGACCGTCTGTAGCACTAGGGTGTTGCAGATCTGTAAGGGTATTTAGGCACCTAACTACCATCTTGGAAGACATGAGGTTGCATCTCACAGTAAATTTAAGCATTTATTTATATGGCAATTGCCACAATATTTGTTACAAATAGTAAAAGAATACCTATTTTTTCTATATTTCATGTATCTGCCTCTCGCATAAACACATCTGATAAGCCATTATCAGAGTTACTGTCTGAAATCATACCATGGGAAGAAATAGATCCTTGAGAGAAACCTATTTCAAACAACAGGACAAACATGAATGTTTCCATCTTTAATACAAGACAGTATTTTCCAACCTAGCCATCAATTTTGTGTACATCCAGCCATACACAAAAGAGTGCCCATGTGCCTGTTCACATGGATAACCAGTACCTGAAGCCATCACCTGCCTGTGAAAATGGTGATTAAACAAGGGATCCTGAAGAGCTCTCCTCATCAAAACATGTTACAGTTGCATTTTATGGATCTAGTACCTGCACTGCAACGAAGGCAAGGAGAGCCTTGTACTGTGAGACCCTGCTTTTACAGCATGGGCTTGGCCCTGGTTGTCCACAGTCCCAGGAGTATTCCCCTCGGATTCATTTTGGGTGCTACAGGAACCTAAATAAAGTTGAAAACTGAAGTCCTGAGGTAAATTCAGATTACAGGTAAGGAAAGCTTTTTACCTTTTATGTATCTAATATGTCAGGCAGTCAGCACAATACAGAAAGAAGGGTGTTTATGAAGCATTTTTCCCAACTTACACCATTTTCTCAGCCTATGTCTGAAATGCTATGAAACTCTAAGTTGTTTCTTCTCCTTATTTTAGATCTTTGTTTTGGTGGGTCAGAAAATGAAGGCTATCGGCTCTTGGATTATGCAAACTGACATGGTACATTTCGTTTCATTTTCTTCAGAGTGCACACATCAACTTATCCATAAAGTATTGATTGCAAGGGGTTGAAGCTGCCTGCACAGCGCTGGCTGATTTTATAAGAGATTTTATTTGCAATTCTGCCACAAAAGCAAGGTGTTGCTGTTGCTTATAATGGAAAGTATGAGATGCTGAAGACATGCAGGTGTCTGTGGGAGAGTGTCTTGCACTCTAATATCCAAGTTTGTGCTTTAAGCATGGTATAGGTGAAAGCATGAGGAAGTCATTGCACTTGAGTCATTCCTCTGGGGTAAATTGCCTTCAAAGCTTTGTTTTCCCTGCTACATCTGCTATACTGCTTTCTCTCTCTCTCTCTTTTCCACACATCTATATCTACAAGGGATTTCCCAGGCAGAATCATGTAGCTACATGCCAAACACTTGTTCAGTGCACAAACAGTAAAGATAATGTTTCAAGGATGTATCATACACTGAGCTCCTTCTCAGCAGATCCTGGAAAACGTGTCCTGGAAGCATCATCCTCGATGAGCAGAGCTACGATGGCACAACTGCAGAAACCCTGAGCATCCCAGTGCATGCCTGGACCACAGCCAAAGCAGAGCCCTAACACGTCTGAGAGGACCAGGCATGTGGCAGAGCCTTCACACAGCTAAAAATCTCAAAGCTCTGGGAAAATTTGCAGAATCTTTGATAGAAGCTGGGCAGAACTTCCTCAGACAAAGGTTGTTTCTAAGAAACCCGCAGCCACTACAGGGGTTTTGACATAAGAGTCACTGAAGGGATTGCACAAGCTCCTGGGGCAATGGCACAGCTGCATCTTCTCCTTTCTTCATCCTCCTCATTTCCTTGAGGAGAGGGCAGGCAGTGCTGCCTCCAGCTCTTGGTTTGGAGTCACAGGTGGTCTGTGTTCTGGTGTATACGCACGTATATGCTTTTATCTTTGGACTGAACAACCTGGCCGCCTGACCCAGGGCCCGGGAGCACCAGGTGGCCCCAGCCCGACAGCTGTGCCTGCATGAGATGGCAGAGCTGGTCAGCACTCCCACCTTCGCTCCCCCCGCTCCCCCACCTCCTGTTTGGAATTCTTGCTTGCTCTGCTAGCCCTTGCTTCCTTTCTTGTCGTCTCCTCAGCCCTCGACTCTGAGAGGCAGCAGCACAGCCCACCTCCACGAGTGTTTTTCCAGTAACCGGCTGATGCTGAGGATGCGGCCGAGGTCGGGGTGCCGGGATCCAGCCGGGAAAGGTGATGCTGTCCCACAGCTCCCCGCCCGCACGGCCCTCCCGTGGCAGGTGCTCACGCTACAACTCGCAAACAGCTTGCTAACATTTCAAATAGCTTTTTTTTTTATTTTATTTTTTTAACCTTCTCCGAACGCCGTAATGATTTCCTACCTGCATTCAGGGTAGGTCAGGCATTTCACTGCAGGGACACGATGAATACGATCGCGCCTGACTTCCAGAAGGTGCTAAGCGTTTCCGAAGTTTCGCGACGCTCAGAGAGATTTATGTTAGGAACAAGATGGACATCGCTGCCCGTTGGATTTTGCCTGTTCAGGCAGCGTTTTGCTGCCTTCTGGCTCCTCGGAGCGGCGGGCGCCGGCAGTGCCGCCCGGCCGCGGGGCGGGGGGAGCGCTCGGCTGACCCAGATTTTGAAGCACTGTGGAATAAAAAAGTACAGCTCCTATTAGTCCTGACTGATGACTGGATTAGCAAACTGATTGTGTAGCGAGGTATCTGCGGGTTTTGCGGTGTCTCTGTGGTGTGGTTCTGTACGTTGGGTCTTGCACTTTCCTTACACGCAGCATATAATTTTTTTAATTTGTTTTTTTTTTTATTTTTAATTTCTGCATCCTTATTTGTCACCCCTGTGTCGCACTTTATTGAAAAGGATTTCTCAGAACCAGAGGGGTCCAACTTATTAATGAAACTCACATATCCTTTCATAAACATATATTTAAGAATTTTAATAACACCACATTGCAGCAGCTTCTTATGCTCTTGTTTTAGGGAATCAGCATTTGCTCCATGGAAGACAGCATCAGTCACTTTCTCAGATTTTGTAGCCCACCTGCCCTACACGAGATCCCTGGAGATGTCATTACTAAGTGATGAGACATTCTGGTTTAAGTGCTCACAGTCTCTGCAGAGCAAGGAGCTGAGAATTCAATATGCAACTTATGAATAGCAGTACACACCAGCATCATTAAATGTCTATTCTTCTCCTTAATTTTTGCTTTTAGATTCATAGGGACTAGAAGTAACTACTGCCAGGTAGTAGTTTTCTTTCAGGGTTTTTAATTCCTATTCAGGCCTGGATTGGTGCTGCTGAACTCCATTGTGCCTCTGGGAACTGGACACAGTACTTGCACTTACCATTGAGCCATCATGCTGACCAGCTGCTGCCCAAGCAGGCCTTTGAAAACATAAGTGCTATGTGGGGAGGAAGGTTTATGGTTGTAATGGAACAGGGCTTCAGTAATGAGTCTTGATTAAGATAAAACATCCAGAGAGACTACCTGTCCTGTCCAGTGAAATCCTGGATAATTTACCAGTTGTCTCAGAGGGAAAATGATTTTATTTTTCTTGTTACTTCTTCCACAACAAATACTTCTGGATTTTCTATTAGTATATGCAACATGGTACATCAAACATACCTGTGTTTACTATGCAGCAAGCTCTGTGATTTGCTTTTTGTTTGGACCACACACTAAAACACAGAGCAACGATCTGATAGCAATGTAAGCTTTGTGTTGAGGTTAGCACTAATATATAGCAGAACTCCTTGTGCTTAAAACACAGCTACAGTAAGTTGAATTATTGTCCCTGTGCAGTTTTCATAGTTATTACTTGGTAGGTTGCCTCCTCAGTGTCAAATTAGAAGTCGTTCCACTAGAACCATTGCAGTAGTGCCTCTGGAGGTTTGTAGGTCCAAATACTTGAAGTATATTACACATTTTTCCGAACAGTTGTGCTTTCACAGGGGTCTGTATTAGAACAGCATGAAATCTGCTGCTGTTTACCCTGGTTTCATCTAAGCCTCACTGGTGGGTTCACTTTATGCAGTGTCAGCAGCACTGAGAGTCAAACTCTGCCTCTGTTTCAGACAAACTTGAAACTTAAAAGAAAACTTAAACTCAGCTTCCTGAATCCCTTCCGGTATCTTTCTCCTTCCCATTCCTTTCTTCAAGGGCGAATTTGCATTTAGCTTTCTGCTATTGTGTGAACGTCAAACAAACCATATTTTACTGCTTTTCAGGAGCCATTTTATTTTGCAGTTTTACCTCCCTGTCTGCCCTGCCTTGCACACATTCATCCTTGTCACACACTTGCAGAAGAAAAGAAAGGAGGATGGGAAGCAAATATAGATTTCATTCACCTTTTTTGTCTGACATGCTTTTGGGCATGGAGGATAAATTTTCTGTGTTAAAATGTTTGTTTAAATGTGGAGACCATAAAACAGAGGACAGAAGGGAAGGACTGACGAAAACATTCAAGGAACCAACTGCCTTTTTCAGGTGAAGAGAAGTTTCAGGGAAGAAGTGCTCACAGATTATAAAAATAAGACTTATACTGAGCATAAAGGTAGGAAGCCTTTTTCTGTACCTTAGTAATTAAAACAGGGAAGAGTTATGGTCCTCATTTCACTGTTAAGGAATCTACAACTCAGATAAATGAAGGTGGAGAGAGATATCTAACCAGTTTCATTTTGTCTAGAAACATAATAAAAGGCCCAGACACCAAATTAAAAAAAAATATGGGATTCAACACAATAGTGCTGAATTTTCTTTCCTTTGAGTACTTCTGCTGCTGTTAACTTCGCTTGGTCTCATCTCCTTTCTTAAAAAAAAAAAAATCTTTTTTAAATCAATCATACAGCAGCTATTATGGTATCTTGTCCTTTAAACTTGACTGAAAACCAGCCTTATTATTATTATTTTTGAGATAATGCCTTTCCCTGAAAATGTCTTCTGGCAAACAAGGCAGAGATTTGAGTAGGGTGAAAGAGAAATCTGTGTATGCATTAAATCAGAAGAGAGTTCCAGTCTTCCCATAGGATTCTTAATCCTACAAAGTAAAAAAACAGATGAGATTAAAAAGAATTATATAACAAATAGAGTTAATGCTTTTATCTAATATAAAAGGAAGGTAAAATTTTAAACCTAGACAATTAGTTCTAGTTAAAATTCTTAAAACTGAGCATTATATATGTTTTATAGCCTACAATGCATGTTAACACTGGAGTCTCCAGGGAACCTCTCAGAGTTTTAGATTCAAAGTAAAAAACTGACTGAAAATCTACCCCCTTGATCATGGTTATTAAAACAGATATCATGAACCTGAATTGGTCCTTGTGCAGTTTAATTCCTCTGTCTTTGTGTAAGAAGATGAACTGTCATAAACTTTGGTTTGATACTTCTTTTTCTTTTCCTAGAGAAAAGACAAGAATTTTCCCCTCTATTACAGCTTTTATTTGCAAAGAGTGATGAATAACTGGGTTAAAAGGGACCAAGATCCACTAAAATATTTTCATTAAATGGTGGGTGTAATTTGTGAAATAATGACGGATTTTAACGATCAGGAGAGACTCATTATAACCCCTTTTCCATGAAAAGGACATGCATACATGTGATGGTTGCTTTACTTGTCAGACACCTGCACCTTCTCTAATTCCTTTCTCTATACAACCAGATAAAGAACCAGGTGCACAAGGGTACACACATCACATTTTTCTTCAAAATTATCCTTCTGTGGCCCTGCCCGACATTTTCCTTGTATACACTTCAAAGAATCTGTTTGGTTTTGCTACTGGGAAGCAATGCTACATCTGGATTCCAACTAGATTTCTCCAGAGTAGGAAAGGCGTTGTCGTAGTGTCTAAAAGGCAGCTGTGATGGGTAAGACTGATTAATACTGACTGAGGCTCATGGGACCATCTTATGAGAGCTTCCCTTTGGGTTTGCCCTCTCACCAGTGCACCAAACTAGGAAGCAGAGGGTCCGTGGAGCACCATTATGCCAACAGAGCTTGAAGTGTTGGGCAGGGAAAGTCCTGAGCTTCCTCCCAGCCCAGTACCGATTAAGCCAGGATAACAGGGGGCGGGAAGCTCTCTCCAAAAGGCTTTGGCGAAGCCTCGGTGCGAGCGTATGGCTGCAGCTACACCTCTGAAAACCATCCAGAGACATTTCTGTGCATAACATATGATGTGTTGGCCCAAATGTTGGAAGCTATACCAAGCATCCTGCTCAGGCTTCCCAACCGGGAAGTCATGCTTACATGGGAAGATGCTGGGCAGAGTCTGTTGTAAGATTAATGAGGGTAAGTGAAGGCTCGACAGAAATAACAAGGAGAAGTATCAAATGAAATCCTCTGCAGGCCTCTCCTGTGTGCAGTGTAGCACAAACCCCTCAGCTGCATAAGAAACAAAAATAAATTCTTTCTAGGTCATTTTATTGTTAAAGATTAACTTGAGATCAGAGACTTGCATCATGCTGTGCCAATGCCTCTGTGTTTTGCAATATAGTTATTGGTACAGACTTTTAGGGACTAAAATGTCAAAATAGCTCAGTAGTTGTGTGAAATCTAATACTTTCATACAGATTACAGTACCTCTATATTTGAAACGGATTTTTAAATTCCAATTGCTGTAACTGCATCTTTAGCTGTTCCTTGATTGTTTGTAGATGTTACGAATGCCGTTGGATCCAGACTGAGTGATAATGACTTTGAGCATAGAAATGGTCTTGCAGCTGGATTCTCAGGAGAGCTTTCCACATTGGATAATAGCTCACATATTGAAATGTGCTCATCAGAGAGGTTTTATGGGGGCAGTAAAGGGAACCAAGATTTGCCTGCAAAATGGAGATTAGAAACTGGAACAGGTAGAATGAATCTAATTTCTCATGGAAGTTCTGATAAAAATCAAACCCCATTATTTTAATCACTAATTTTAGGACAGCCTCTGCAACCATTGCTGAAGGTATACATTACCTTGTTTCCAGTGCAATTCCATTTATTACAGTATGTGTCAAAGAAACATAGAAAATTGCTCTTACCAGGGTAAGCTAGTGCTTAACATAAGTGTCAGAAGTGTCTAGCCTTTACTGATTGAGATTCTGAGTTCTTTATGTGATATAACCATCTTAATCAGAAATAGCCAATGTGCTGGAAAGCAGTACATTGTATGTGCAAAAAGAGTAGCGTGAAAGGATCTATGCTGCAGTGATGTCTTGTTTTTCTTTACTGTTGCTGTGGAGTTGAAAGCCCATCTGTCCTCCTTATTATGTTAAATTCATTCAGGAGTCACTTAACTGAAGTATCCTTAACCTAGTGCTTCTGCAAACTAGTACATCTACATAGAGAATAGTTATTAAAATAAACATCACATTATCAGCATCCTAATGCAGTACCATTGTGAGTAATCAATGAGGTCTCTGGCAATCATGGAAATTATACAATATAATTGAGTTATTTATAATAAAATTGCTGAAGAGTTGCTGACTTTCCCAGTTAAATATTTTTTCTTTCTTTCATACAGCCTGCTGATCTTGCTTTGAGTTTTG